TTGACAGCTGTCTCGGTTGTTTGAGTTTTTAGATTGTGGAACAGGGCCCACATTTACATATTTTAGGTGACCTAGCCCTACAGTTGGCACTACGAAGTCGAGAGCTGCAGATCGACCTCTGCCCGCTGCCCTTACCTACTCAAATCCCAAAACGAAAAGAATAGGCTTAAGCATCTGGCTTACCGGTAATCTCCCATTCCCAACATCGAGAGACTTTAATAACTATAGCATGCTAGAAAAGGGGAGTTTAGGTGCTTAGACCTATAGCCCGAAATCTTCAACTTCTTATAAGCCGACATAACATATTCAACCACGGATTAAGTCGACATAACATCTTCACGTTCAGTCAGGGTTTTCCAATTGGATTACCTTGCCGGAATTGGATAGAAATAGGGCTAGACGCGCCGGAGGAACCCCTTCTGCTCGAGCTCGCCGTAGGAAACTTTCCCCAAGGTTTCAAGATCCATCTTTCAGGTTCCTTTCAAGCTGTAAGGCTCGCTCTGTTCTCAAGGCTTGGTAGCTCTTCACAAAGTCCTCCTTTTTCCACGAGTTGGAACCGTGCCGACACATTTTCATATCGTCCCCCAGTAATAGAGTGGTAGGTTTCTTCCCTTTCTATTCTGTATGACGCCTGAATCCTTCAGCTACATCTAAAGAATCCCAACCATTACACTAGAAGAAGATAGGCAACTACCTTGACCAACCAAAACAAATGAAGAAAGGAAGGGACGAAAGTGACTCGAGCAAAGCGAGAGGGATGAAATGAATAAAGGGTTATCTTGGATTCCGACTTGGAAGCTTGAATAGTGATAGATAAGACAACGCAACTAGATTTCACGTCTTTTCTTGAGAGTGCCTTTCCATCGCAAGTAACTGAGCTATCTAGGGTTCAAAACCTGGGGAAGTCACTTCAACAGAAGCCTTACCAAAGTCAAGAGATTGGGCTCTTATAGCTATAGTTGGAGCTTTTACAAACAGGTTTAGAGTAGGCAATTCCTAGTTCAAGTTTCAGCTTCATAGCTATATATTTCCTTTCTTAACTGGGTTTTTGAACTTCACATATAGCCCATCAGCTTGTGACTTCGCACTCTCAGTTTTGAGATTGGGAATCAACAGAACTGCCCTTTCTTAACTTAATTATAAAGGGTAGCTTAGCTGGTTAGATTTACTGAAGGTAATTCAATCGCTGAACGTTGATAATAGCTTTCGAGAAGAGATCCTGACTCTCCAGCTAGTTCAAACTTCCCCGATTAGTAATGCTCTCACCCTGGGGACATATCTCACCTTTGTCAGCAAAACAGTAGAACCATCTTCATTTCTCAGTCTCACACTTCCTATTCCCTTCACTGTTGACATGGTGTCATTTGCCATCTTTACTTTTCCACTACCAGCATCTGATAAACTCACAAACCATTCTCTTCTTCCGAAAGAACAACCTGTGTCAAGTATCCAGACTTCCCTTTGTTAGGAATCCCTAATTGAAAGTGAGAAGGGACCTACACTAGTATATAAAGCTTTCACCCTCTCCACTCATTGCCAATTGGTTTTGAGTTGGAAGCCCATGAACACTCGCATGGTATCAAGAGCCATGGAGGGTTCTCTTGAGTCTTATCCTTTTCCTTCCAATATCAATATTACTAGTTGAGTCTCCATTAAACTCAACGATCGGAACTATCTTCTATACGACGAAGGAAGGGTGCGATTGAGTCCGCTGAACTTGGGCGAGAGATGTGACTTTGAGGAACGCCAAAGCTCTGGTGTCTACGAGAAGCTTCATGAGTCAAACAATTGAGGAAGCCGATGCTTATACTTGGGTAGAGAATCTCGCACAAAGCAATGGGAGTCATGGCTCGGATTATGATCGGACTACAAGGAAAAATAATGATGAATCTCATCATGCCATCCAAGAGCTGAATGCAAAAATGGATAAGATATTGAAGCGTGACCAAAATAAAAGATGACGGTAAACTCTTGTGAAGAGTATGGTGGATATCAAGGGTACCAAGACTTTTGTGTTGAAGGGTATGAGGAGCCACAAGAAGAGTAGACGTGGCAGGCATTGATCGGTTCATTGGGACCGGGCTAGCAAAGGTGCGAATCCTTTTACGCCACACCATGTCACATCTGCCTTCATAGCTCAACGGATAGAGCGCTCACCCGCTAAGTTAGGGGTTCTTGGGAATAAGTCTGCCTTTGTTTTTTACACGTCAACATCCCCTGATTGATAAAGGGAGTGAGCACTTCACTGAAGTATGTGGAAGTGGTGGGATATCGCGAATCGAGATGTAGATGAAGTCGTCTTTGAGTCATGTAGAATGCGATACTTTAACGACACGAGACCCTGAAAAGGGATTCAGTAGGCGTGGAGTTCGAGATTGCCATAATGGATGAGCTTTTTGGCTCATTGTGCTTGCGAGACGATCCTCGGATTGGTTCTTTTCAAAGTCTGTTGGGAAGACGTAAACGCCAATCTTCCCTGCCCGATCAATCTCAACACTGTTTTGGCCCCCCCTAATACCTAATACAAAGTCAGAGATGGGGAATCCTTTAGTTTAGAGACAAGTCTCAAAATCGACTTGCAGGAAGGATAGCCTACACCCTCTTTTCTGGACCTTCTTGTGAAAGTTTTCGGTAAGCTTTCACAGAGCAGATGTTGTTCTCGACTGAATCAACAATGTTTTCCTTTTCCGCTATAATTCAAAGGCGTTCATCTCCTTTTAGTCGACTAACTGGCGTTCCTCAATTCAGAGACTGAGCCGGCTACCGTACTTCATGCTTGCAGGAACAGCAGCACTACTAGGCAATTAATTAGCTGCCCCATTCATGCGCCCTCTAAACAACGAAAGCTACAACATCAACGAAGGGAATAGGCTTGCTTCTTCCTAGCGATCGGGCGTTCCTCCCTCTTCCTGTTCACCGCCGGTTCGCCCACTGCTGCTTTCATAGATGTCGTGCGACGGGGTTCCTCCGCTAATGGATGCCTATTCCGTTCTCCTGCTCCTGCTCCAGCTCAAGAGTTCAAACGGACAGAAGAGAGTCCTGCTACCGAAAAAAAAAGTGCATAATATTGGATTCAAACAAAGGGGATTTATTCACGAATACGATTTCTATTGATTGAAAGCTTTCCTATTACTGATGGCAGGCGGGCGAGACGGAGACCGCCGAAGAAGTGCCTTGACGCGCCGCAGCCACTACTTTGACTCCTTTTATGCAATTATGTTATGAACTCCACGGAACTTTCTCGATTCCAACGCAACTTATCCTTTTGGAGCTGACGTAATAAACTAGGCGAGCCTCCCAACGAAGCCAACATAAATCCTATCCGAATAAAAAAAATAAAAGGCAGTTTCATTATGGTGGTATACCAACCTCCTGTTCTGGAACTTCCAGTTCCAATCGAAGCATATAGATCCGTAAATAGATTTGTATGTATAGCCACTTCAGCCGTGCTCGTCTTTTCTCGAAAGTATTTTTTTCTGGGAACATGGTTAACCAAAAATGATTATGTTTGCGATTCTTCATCCACCAATGCATAAAATGCTCAAGTTTTCCATTCTTATATGAGGCCGGAAAGTTTATTAGCAAGAGGTCGGCATGAAGTGATTCATCATGCTCAAACATGAGCCGATCGTTCGTTAGGGACGGTTTACAGATCATCAAATTCCCACAAATGGAATGAGAAGTGGGTCCATGTAAATGATCGAGACCTCGCAAACAACAACGCTCCTTCCCCATATGGAGTTCGGAACCCAAAGGCAATTGTTGAGTGAACTGTATCTTCTTTGTGTTAGTTGACCTCAGCCGCACCATTACTGCTGGGGTGGGGCTCGGCCTCCAAACCGTACGTGGGACGAGTTTCTGCCTCATACAGCTCGGGTCGAAGACCGGGGGAAGTTTAGGAGAGATGAGGAGACCCAGCAGCTGCCGGTCGGGGCGGGGGTAAGCTTGTGAAGAAGCGAGCTTATCCCCCCAAAAAAACCAATCCTATAGCGCTAGCGCTTCGCGTTCTTTCTATTTTATCTCATTTCATTCCGGGATAGGCTAATAATACTAATCTAATAAGTGAAGTAGTCGTCGTCTGACCAATTGACTCGGACACCAGACCGCTCGTGCCCGCCCATTCTGTCTCGCCCTAAATGGAATGGCTTTCTTAGTTACGCTGCACCCCGCGACCCGAGTCCCCACGTCCGCTCTTCTCCGCCCGCAACCTAAAAAGTTGGCTTTGCCAACACAACATTAGGGCTGTCCCCTTCATTCTATGCCGACCCCGGCCCGGAGCTGGCTTTTTGGGAAGCCCATTCCCACCGCGCTCATGGCCCGGCTGGCCTGCCAGAGGTAGTGGGAATTATCCCGTTCCCTGGTCAAAGACTTGGTTGGATGCGGGATCTACTCCACGAGGAGCGGTACGGACGTAGATGATATCATCACGACCTCTCTTTTCGTACCGCTAGGGATGCTTAACGCCACTTCGCCAACTAGCGTTACCCGCGCTTTCGTATCTCTCAGTGTGGTCAGCACTGGGTGTTTCCGAGCAGCGAAGCTTACACTCATTCGCATTAGTTCATCCAAAGTTCCTTACCCTTATGCACGAATTTTTGAATAAGCCATCTTCCTATCAAGGTTAAGGAGTCAACTGAGCATCTCAGCGGCGGGATTGAATACCCGGATCGAATCAGAGTTCACGCCGCCCGCCCTGAACAAATAGGAGGCGTGGGCCACAGGTCGCACATAAGCTGCCGGGTCGCACGACAGAAGAACACCCAACATACAGATGCACACTCCTTCATGTGAAATATTCATCTTCATTGGAACCTTTTGGTAGTAGTCGTGACCAACAGCCATAGCCATCAGCTGTCGGCTCCTTGGTAAGGCGAGAGCTTCAAGCCCGATTTCTGGTGGCACGCCCCCCACACAAGCACCACCCAACTCAGGCGGGACGGGGAAAGCTATAGGCCCAAAACCTTCGACCCTTCTTTCTAAATCTAAATGGGGGTGCCCGGAGCACCTCATCTTGTCATTTCATCGTTGCTCATTCCCGTTCGGCCGAAGTGTTTGGCCTTTCCTTCTCCGCGCCCGCTCACGCTTCGCTGACCTATCGCGTGCTAAAAAGAGGAAAGTACGAAAGAATAGTAAACAGAGCACACCGCAGAAAGATTCTAAATATGAGAAGTCCCCCTTGGATTCGAGAAGACGGAAATGAAGAACGGGAATGAAAAAAAAATAAGGCCTTTCTAGCTCTAGTTTCGGATGAGCTTCTCCCAATTATCTCTGGTAATAGAATAGGGCGACTTGCTCTGACCAAGACTCCACTTTTTGCTCCGTCCATAGAGCGTATGATTTTCCTGGAATGTAGATAGACCAAAAGAGGGAATGAAGAGATAGGAATAGGAATTATAGTACCATTGGAAAAAGGGGCACCCGTGGGAACATCTCTACTGACGAACCATTTCAATAGTACGGGTGCTGCCGTGACACAAGGCACGACCATAAAAAGAATCAAAAAGAAAAAGTTATGTAGTTGGACCATCTGCTCTATCCGTTCGAGTTTGGCTTCTCTAAAGAAGAGAAGGCGCTAAAAATGAAAATGTTCGCAAGGCATACCGAAAGGATACCAATGAAGCCAACCATTAATGACTAGTTCGAACACCAGGAGCGGAAGGAGGGACTTGAACCCTCAACCTTAGCCTTGGCAAGGCTATGCTCTACCATTAAGCTATTTCCGCCAGCTATGGTAGTGGCGACAGCACTACTGAGCAATTCACGTATTACTTGATACGGACGACTTCCGTTTTTATGCCGGACCACGCTCTTGACCTCCGATCGAGCTACGAGCACGAGTAGGTAGGCGGCTAGGGGGGGGGGGCTGGGCTGGGAAGGAAGGTTTTTTTTCCCTCTTTTTGCTTCGCGCCAGATGAGATGATGATTAGTGGGTAAGGTCCAGTGTGTGCTCTTGATCACAATCACTAAAGAGGCGGGCTGGCTGGGCTGCCTTTTCAATCAATCTCCAGCCGCTCAGCGCCACTATTGGAGTTGTAAGGAGTGAAGGTCTCGAGTCGAGCTGGGGCCTCATTTAATTCTCGTAACGTGCACCACAAGACCAGACAAGTGACTCCCTCGCCTCGCAGCTAGGCATCTGTCTTTCTTTTTTTTAAGTTGAGTCATTTCCTTTCCTAAGACGGCTCCTCTTATTCTACGATAATCCAAGCAAATGGGATGAAATGGTGACTAGGTGAGAATCCGCGTTACACGCGGGTGTTAATTTTGTACTTTTCTTTTTAAGTATTTGGTGTATATACTTTTGGAGATATATTTTTTGGGCATTGAAAAATAGTGAGTTAAACATATTATACTTAAGAAATTATCATGCCGAATTTGAATGACTTATTCTATGATATTCCATATAATTGTTCTATTTAAATGAGAATTCAAAGAAATTTATCCCACACATTTGTAAGCAATTTATACCAGTTATCCAAGACTCTCATTCCTTGATCAACTTCACGGAAAATGTGGATTTCCTAGGAGGATGACTATAACTTTCAAGAGTTTGCATCTTGGACTTTCAACGTCTCAGTGATTATCAAAGCACCTGCATTCCACTTGGGGTCATTTAGAGACATTAATATTTACTCATTAAGTCTTTCATCCACCTTCGCAAATTTTTAGTCTCGACTCTTGGTATTCTGAAATCTGATGAACATTCTTACTTCTATCTATTCAGAAACTGAATGTAGTAGTAGTACTATAAGAGTTAGATTGAATAACGCTTACAAATTTTAGGCATGGTGTACGTAAGTATGAAAATCCTCCTTCAATCTGCATGAATAGAGAGCATTTCTCAGATTTTGAGGTAGTTAATTAAGACATGTTTCCTAATAATAGATCTCAATGAGAAAGCTCAATCAATCACCTGCGCATCAGTGTCTTTAGAATTTTTTACTCTCTTATTTCTTTCATTGCTTATCTTGAATAATGATGATAAATCACGATATTTCAATAGTCAAGTTTAAGCTATAGCTTTTACCCAAAAAAAAGGTTAAACCCGAAGCCATAAGAACAAACACAAGTCATCATAACACAAGTCCGGACAAGAGCATTGGCGTAGTTTAGCTTTCTAGAAGTGCCTCTTTACAGCTACAAACAATACGAATGCTAACTCGAAATGCTTTGCACAGATAGTACAATGGATGAAGTAATAGCATTGTACATTTGAATCTTCATACCTTTTCTTGATTTCATATGTAAATTCATGTTCTTATTGATTTTCTATATGAAATAAACCAAAAGCTAGCTAGCGGAGGAGTGGAAAATTTTCAATAACAAGGAAAAGGCAGAAGCGACTAACCTTGAGGGATGAAGAACGAATGATGGTGCAGACTCTTACGTCGGAACCGAATCATAGGAAGATTGGTGTTGTATGCAGTCTCCATATAGGGGTCAAATTAGCATGGAAAACCAACACATAACATGGTTAAAAAAAGTGAATTAAAAAGAGAATCAAATTGCAGGTTTGAGTTTGCACATATATTGTAATGAAAGAATTCAGTTAGCATATCTACCTGTTTCGGTATCTTAGATTGAATCAGCTCGGAAATGAGGAGACATCCACTTGGATTTCACAAACTCTGCTCTCCTCCATGGCGCCACATGTAGGCTTTTATTCTGGTAGTTCTTTGCTGCAGGCACAATCTCTGATTGTCATCATAATTCAATGTCTGTCAATACTATTTCACCTCTGATTATCACATGTACATACTAATATTCCCTGTTTCATTTCATAAAACAGGCACTATATTGTTAGGCTTCATAGCAATCTATTCAAAGAGATATGGAAAGGACAATGTGTGCAAACAACCCATCACACTGTAAGACTCTCTGCCAGAAACGTAAAAGTGGATTATATAAGTCTCTTCTCGTTCTCTCCTTTTGCATCTCATAACATGCAACCAAAACAGAAGCAAGATTTCGAGTTTAACTATTAGAGATTTATAGTGTACCAGCTGGACAAGAAGTCGATTTCCCCGAGACAGATTTGCATAGAGACACATCATATCATATTCGCTAGAATCCTTTAGAATCGGCCACATTAATAAAGGATGACTCGTCCTTAAGCTTTCAAGTTCTTATTTGTTTCCACAATCTTTGTCGCAACACTCCTACAACGGACCAAATTCTACAAATTCAATTTTCTTATATAAGCTAATCTGTTTTCCCTTGATCCAACAAACGTAGAGTCATGAAAAATTGATGAATCATACCTTTAGGATTTAAAAAGCTTCGCCATTGTCATCGACGATGAAATGCAGAACCATCTTCGCTGAATTACTTCTTGAAAGTTTTGTAGAAGCTTTCTTACAGGAGAATTAAAAAGGGATGACAAATTCATCACCCATAATTATTAATCCAACAGAAGTTGTACAGGCAACAGAAAAACGAAGGTTTCAGAGAAATTGGAATTCCGTTTGGAAATTGCAAAACGCTTAAGAAATAAAAAAAAAAGGAAGCGCAAGAGTGGAATTTGGGTGTACACGTGGCAGTCTTTCATGTGCTGACGTGGCACAAATCTGGAGAAAGTTACCCAAGTTTTATATTATAGACTAGGAGAGAACCTGCGCGTATACGCGGTTTTATTTAATTTATATTTTAAATTATACATTTTAAAAACTTTTATTAAATTTTATTTTTATTATAAATATTTTTGCCTTTAAAATATTTATATTTTCTTTGATTTTTTATAACATATTATTTGTAATTATTATACACCAGTTGTAATAAAGAATTAAAAACCTAATATTTAATTTCTGTATAAAAATATAATAGTTCACATATTTTTATAAGTTGAATACTAGAGAGCAATATTTATTTGTTCTTCCATCTTCATATTTTTTTATTGTTGTAAATCCTACTAATATAATATTTGTCAACTTTCTCAATATACAATTTTGAGTTTTTTTGTTATATATATTTTATTGATTCCTGGTTTTTTTGTACAAAAAAAACAATTTATGACATTTTTATATATCCATTCTTCTTTTTACTATTATTTTTTATATTTTTTATCTTTTTAATCATTTATTAATTTTTATGTTTTATAAATTTATTAGTTAGAGTTTTACATAATATTATTTGAAATTTCTTAATATATTCAGTTTTATAATTTTTTTCACTTGCATTAAAATTTAATTATTTTTTAGTTTAAAAATGAAATTTAAATCATTTAACAAAAGAAAATAGAATGGTGCATTTAAAAAGTTTTGTATTATATAATATTTATAAGTTGTATTATATTTAAATTAAATTTTAATTAGTTTATTATATAAATTTATTTATATACATATTATTTATTTATATTCTTTAATGTGTTTCTTTAAAATTCATTAATTATTTTTTAATTAAGATTGTAAATGGACATGTGTCACTCTCTCCAATGCTGATGTGGCATTCAGATGGAGAAAGTTGATTGTATTATATATACTAAGTGAATATCCGCACGTTACGTGTAGGTTTTTCTTTTCAAAATTTTTAAACTTTTTTTTATATTTTTATAAAAATTAATATAATCATTACTTGTTACCTATTACTTGTTAATATTTTATTCTAAAAAATTATAAAATATTAATACATATTGAATATTATTTAATAATTTAAAGTTATATTAAGATTAAAAAATATCATTCAAAAACTTTTAATTAGTTATAACATAAATTTTTGTTTAACATTTACAGAAATATTAATTGATAGTCAATTAATTTAAAAAATAAAATTTATATAATCATCATTTCATTTGTTACTTGTCAGTATTTTATTATAAATAATTTTAAAAAAATAATTTAAAATACATCTTGAATATTATTAAGTAATCTAAATATTATTAAGTAATCTACAATTATATAAAAATTAAATACATATCTATCAATATTTTTAATTAGTTATAACATAAATTTTTGTTTAACATTAATATAAATTTTAATTAAGAGTCAATTAATAAACCAAACTTTTCATATTCTTTAAATGTTTTAAAATTTAATATTAAAATTTATTAATTAAAATTTAAAGACAGATGTCAATCTATCCTATGCTGATATGTCAATGATATGCTAAAAGTTGAGCAACTTTTTTATATATAAGATATTATGTTGTTTTAGTATAATAAAGGGCCAAAAATAAAAAATTTGTGTTTCCGGTTTAGCCTCTCTCAACATGTTGAATCCATGATGGACGGACACCTACCCAAATCTTTTTACCACTGGCCCAACCCAACGTTGGTAAATTAAATATGAATGTTTAATGTTTAAGAAACTTGCAGGCCTTTCATCTCTTATAAGTGGAGCAACACCAATAGCAATATATTTTGTGAAATTTGTAAAGTGACCGAGTATATAAAAATATCGACTCCAGGGTGTCTAGTTATATTTCTTTTTAGAGAGTTTTTATCCTCTCTCTCTCTTCTCTCATCTCCATCTTTGAGAAGAGAGAGAGTTTTTCTCTCTTTTTTTGATGTATATACTTCCGATTAATATCGGATCTTCCTTCCGTGTATAATGGATAATAATTTCGACTTGATCGGATTTGTTTTATTCCGTTTATCAGAGTTCTTTTTCTTCTATGTTTGATTCCTTCTTCTTATGTAGTAAAATCCAACACCAATCCTTAGTGGAGTGAAGGATTTTATCAAATTAGAGGAATCTTTGATCTTCTTGTGTTAAAGTTAAGGTTTTCTGATTTATCGGATGTTTTATGCCCATTCTCCTCTACAATTGGTTCCTCTTGTATATGAGGCGGTGGTGATTGGATCTGGAGGTAAGAGTTGGAAGTCTTCTTCTTCAATTACTAGTATCATCTTTTCTGGGCTGGGATTGGAATCTCCCTAAGTCCCCTATTTTAAAGCCTTCTTCAAGGTATGGGTGACATGTCCTGAGTATAGATGATTGGCGATGATTCAAATGAAGGATTAGAGTTTCTGCTCAATTACTCTCTGGATCTTATTGAGGAGGAAACAATAGGTGAAGAAGCAGCAATTTGAGGAGGATGATAGATCTGATTGGAGTTAACCTATGGTTTTGAACTCTTCGGATTATCGATTTTCCGGCGAAGCTCTGTATCGTCGATGAGATCGGCGGCATCTTCTAACCATTAATCGGCGTTCACCCCAATTATGCTGCGTGTGTAACACGTGTTCTTTAATTATCGATCCTTATCTTTTATTGTGGGCTATATATGGGTTGATATTTTGGGCTTTAATGTGTAAGGATTGGGGCCTCAAATCTTGCTGTAATTTGCTTATTGTTGGGCTTTCTTTAATAAAAGATTGGACGACAAAAAAAAAAGTTATATTTCTTTTTTTTATGGAAAAATAAAACTACAGACGATTTTATTATGAAAACAGCGAAGTTTACAAGTCAAACACAGAGACAATAAAATATGAAACTTTATTCCCATTGTTTGGTCCTAATATATCCTGCCCCTTTAGTATATTTAAGGCTCTTATTTCATTACAAATGATACAGATGAGACTTCTTTTTCGTTAAGTGTGAGAATCTCAAGCTGAAACTCAGACAAAACCTACAAAGTCAATAAAAATCCGGAGTTTTCTTACCACTACATATACGGATAACCATCATAACTGAAATCGCAGTAGACTCTCACTGGGGGAGCACTCGAATTATGACCTAGACCCACACAGCGAATCCTAACAACCATTGGATCAAGATAAGGTAGTTATACGGAGAAGACCTACACCCTCCACCGTATCCTCGGCCGTGTCCGCCGTCTCCTCCGTAGCTCTGTTGATCAGGGTGCAGTGTCTCCTCACTCTCTGACTTCACTGTGCCTGTCCATAACAATACATTATTTCAAAGATCTTGTTTACCACGTGCAATGGTGCCTTCCGATTTCAAAACATTTATATACGTTCTACAAAAGCTGCACAAAACAAAATCAAAATAATTTGAGATGGGATGATAAGTATAATAGCAGATCAATATCATACTTAATTGTCTTGACTTACTCTAGGATTCAACATAATTCTTAAGCGTGTATTTTTGAATAGCATGAAATATTGACTGATACCCTTGTTCCAAAATATTATATATATATATATATTAACTGAAATATATATGGAAGTACCCGACTGCCTTTCAGATTCCCCTGCAACTTCAGAGATGACAAGAAGAACCGCAAAGAGACTCACCAGAAGCAAAGCCTTGGAAGCCATTTTTTCAACTTTTTATAACACTCTTTCTGTAAAGAAACAAGTGACGAATAAAAAATGTTGCCCTCTATTTAAAGAGAACGAGGAGTAGGAATGAGAAAAGTCAAAGAATGACTAATATGTAGTCCTATAAAAAGAAGGGAATATATAATCAAATGATTATTTACAATTTTAGGATGATTTCATGAAATAACTAATAAACTCTCTGCCCACTTCCATAGACATTATTTACGATAAAAATCAGATGGTAAGGACATAAGTATCAAAGTATGTGTACGTCATTACATCGGGCCCCTTATGATGTTTATGATTGCATTATTGAATTCCATTATTGGATCCTCTTTCCAATAAGGGAGCAGCACGTACTAACTAGTAAGGACAGTAAAGGATGAAAACATTTACTGTCCTTTGCCTATATATTCACCGTCAATACGAAATTTCAACTTGGAAAAAAAAAACACGAAAATTCAAATGGAATTTTGGTTGGCTATAGATCAAAATATCTATCCAAGTCACCTAATCATCAAGGGGGCTTGATGTATCTCCGTTGATGAGCTGCTGAGCATTATTATTGAGTGTAGACTTATAATTGATTCAAACGTATATTTCCTAACCATTTTTTGGGTTAAATTGTTAGTATTTTAAAGGTTCAAAACTTATGTAAGACAAGTGACTTGTAGTATAAAAAGATAAAAACACAATACACCAATGATAGTAGGTCAATTATTAATTTGGAGTGTATATATCATCGAATACCTATCGGAATTCTAGTTTTACTCGAACATATCACATAATATAGACATTAATGATATGAACTTATAATTATAAAATGTCTAATATCTTTCATTTTTTTAATCTGAAATTTATCCTATTTTAAATGTGAAAATTTATCAGTCACCCAAAAAGAATTATGCCAAGTAATAATAAAAATGAGAAAGATTTTTTTGTCAAAGTAACAAAAAAAAAAACCAGAAAGACAGTTTGAAAGATGAAAAATACAAAAGATTGAGACAGTACATAATAAGCTTCTTCCTCTATTGAACCAACGTCTAAGCAGACTCGACTATGGAGGTGTGAAAATTCGAAGTAGCGTAAAGATGAGACTATATTACTCGATTGCAGAAAACGAAGAATTTTAAATCAACAAAATCATAAGCAAGAGTTGGGACTTGGACAGAGAGAGCAAACAAGTTGAAAAATACGTAACAAAAGAAAGACAATAATTAAAATCACATATTTCATTTGTTAAGGCAGATCCGGAGGTAATCAGTTTTGTCTATATGCTCACTGTAACGACCCCAAGTCTTTACCGGACGGAAAACAAGCATGTTCTTTGTTGTACACATAGTTATGTTTCTCTTAATTTTTCAATTTTTAATAAATTAAAATTCTCTTTGGATGGGGAAAACAATAAACCACTTTCTGTTTGAGTGCCTTCCAGTTTTATAAACTTGGGTTATCTCTCCAATCCTGTCCCTTCTTGATATATTTTCTACTTCATGTGTTTTCACAAATTTTGTTTTTTTTTTGTTTTGGCGAATACTGCGATTTCTCTAGAATTTTTCTTTGACATGATATATTTGAAAAGTTAGAAATGAAATAAGGTCTATTCTAATGTGGATAGAACCCCACAAAAAATTCTTAAGATTGTAGAGTCCGAGGCAGCTATATGGGACATGGCACAACATATCGATTCAAATGGGATTTCCCAAATATAGTTACTACGATGATGCAGCCGGTATTAGAGAGTTTGGTGTTATATAGATGGTTCTTGGAAAGAGAGAGACACCTGAGTAGGATGGTACTGTGTCAAAGTAGGTAGTGAAGAAACACTTTTAAGAACAAAGAATCTTCGTAGACTCTATCCCAAATACATGTAGAACTGCAAGCACTCATATGGAGAATCTACTTTATCGTTGCTTTATTAAAAACGATGATAACTTTCACAACAGACTGTTCCAAAATGGTGAAGATGGTGTTTGCACCAAGGAGGTTTTTTTTTTTTTTTTCTCTATCTCATTCATTCTATGCGCAAAGAATACAGCGACAGACAAGTTAGAATGTAATGCTTGTGTTTATTCTTCTGATATCACATAAATAAAGTCGGTACCACCAATTTGGATCTATGAACCGTTCTAGGTATCTTATCTGTTTACCAAAAAATATTAAAATTCTTTTTTATTCTTCTTCCTTTTCCCAATTGCTGCATCATTTGAGATTACAAAATTTGAAGGACAATAAGATTACATACTAATACAAGACTTTTAGAATATTTTATAGACCTCAATTGAGGTGGTGCATATAAAGTATCTACCTTTGGATGAATCGAAACCAAGTGCAGATGAAGCTTTCAGAATTTGGGAGTCGATTAACGTGAGGAAGCGATTATAGATTGAGAAGCGGCTCGATCTAGACCTGAAAGCTTAGCTCAATAAGGAGTTGGATGTCCTTAACTACTACAAGAGCCTACTTTGGGGAGGAGTTATAGATCCTTGAATTCCTCTTCTTCCAAAATAAATAAACCACAACTTCGAAAATGACTTTACATATGATTTTGAGTTTCCATTTCTAGAACATTGTCTAACCTAACTAACAATATACTCCAAACAAATAGGTGACATTTTATGGTAAGAAAAAAGTGTGATAAAAGAAGACCAAACCTCTATAGAATAAGATATAATAAGAAAAAATTGTGATCGACATTCTGTTCCAACAGCGGATAGCAAGCAATCACTAGGAACGTTAAGTCCCCATATTCTTTACCTGTCACGCGTTGGAAGTCTATCCCGAACAACTACCTAAAGCATAAAAGCATGTTTTGCAATCCTCTATTGAACCATACACTTTTAACCCATGTTACATTTTATGTTGCGGGATAAAGGGAAGCCAAGTTTTAGAAGTGGAGAAAATGTTTAGCAGTTCACTCATGGTATGTCTCCGTAAATAAAAATCCGGTTTGTTATCTCAGGTAACAGAGGCACATGAGGTAGCTACACAGGCCCGGAAAAGAGTTAGAGTCGGATGTGTTCTCCTTGATTTCGACAAGAGATCATCTTCACAAGCTTGTGAGGCAAAGGCTATAACTAAAATTCCTGATACTCTTGGTTCATTTGGATCGATGATTTAAATCAACGAGACTACATTTGTCTATTCATCATGCCAAAGACACAGCTAAATTCCCAGACTGAACTTGACAAGATAAGTATAGACGAGCTAGAGGAGGTACTTCATCAATCGACGCCAAATCAAATTCCTTAAACGCTAAAAGTGTGTTGACCAAAATAATCTCTCTTATCACCATTATTAGAATCCAAGCTACATAAAGACCCTGATGCTAAAACAAAAGCCATAAAAGTTTCAAACCGAACACCTAATTCGAAATTTGAAGCTTTTTCAGCTTAACTCGCTAGCCCTTCTAAAGAATAAACTGAATCTCAAGAGATTTTTGCATTTCAAGGTCAATTTGAAGATCCACTCCACGAGAAAGTATTACAAATATTTTTTTTAGGATTTCAAAATATCCTTTCAGAATAGGAAACAACTCTGCCCAGAAATTGATAGTACCGAAGAAAACATTAAGAATAAGTTGCAAACTCCCCACAAATGATAAATACCTAACTGTCCACGAGGAAGGAAAAATCAACATTATCATACGCTTTTGTGATGTCATTTTGCGATTAATTTAGAGGCTAGACGTTTTTATACAATAATCTTCCTTTGACAAAACACACTTCCTACATGTTCACCGTTCCTGAAGTGATAAGTTTGAGGCGAGAAACCACTATGTAAACTATATTATACAGAAAAATTGGTCTGAACTCAGAAAGACAAGCACCTCTAATAATTTTTGGAATATAAGCAATAATCTTGGAGTTGACTTCTCTTGACATAGATGGATTACAAAAGACATCTTTCATTGCCTGAATCAAGCTAGTAGCCATCAGTTTCAAGGAAGAAGTGAAAAAATCTATGGTAAAACTATCTGAACCTGGAGCCTTATTTTGAAGCAAGACAAACGCAGTGGCTTTTACTTCCTCCTTTGAAGAAATAAGAAATCTGACCAGAGAGAGAAAGGCACCTAAAAAGGTGAAAATGTGGATTTGACAAACCAAAAGTGGCTGAATCTGATCATTTGCCAATCCTAAAGGTTTGATTGATATAGAATGAGCATGCTTTTGAGAACCAACGGGTCAGAGACTTTATTACTCACATTTTCTTAGAAAAAATTAATAATATTCCTTGAAAGGTTTGCTATGACCGAATTATGAAAAAACAGGCGTCAGGATCATCTTCTGTCATCCACCGATTTTAGATTTCTGTCTGAAAACAAACCGATTTTACTAAGCTTCAGGTTCTAAATTTATAACCCTTAAATGTATGCAAATGCACAGATATGCTATGCTAGGGTATCGATCCATAGAAACTTAGTTGTTTCATTACAAATCCACGCTAATGCTTAAATCTAATGAGAACTAAATAATTTGGTTTTGGTTTTGGATGTCACAAAATCTAAACTAGAAAACAAGTAAAAAGCAACTGAAACTAAGACTGTAAACTATTAAAAACAAAACGCTAGGCTTAAAGGTATTTGCAGAGATTCATGGACTAAATTTATGATAAAAATAAATAATAAAGATAATCGACTACAATTTGTTCTAGAAATCGAGCACGGATGTATGACTATGTCACTTTCATGATCATAACTAACTGACACCCACAACCTTGATCAGTAGCTTCCGACTCTGGCCCCAGCCACAGATGTACGCAATTTTGTACTAGATTCATCTACATTCACAACTCACACATAGGTAGCTTTCGTCTCCTGTGGTAGAATTGCTTGTTTCACCCTATACCTTCCTTTGTCTATGTATCATATATGCGTATGTATGCATTTTATGCTTCTAATCATCTGCCTCTTATTTGCCCAAAAATCCATAAATTACTCAGACCAAGAGCCGCTCTCGGTGTATTCAGTTCTATCCCAGAGCCGCTCACCTATCGCGTCCACCCGGACCGACCATTCCTATCCAGAACCATCACCAGCCATATTTTAATTCCTGACCAGCAATCTCTTGTGGTTCATAAACTAATCCACACGCTTGGCTGGCCAAGTCTATACTTGGCCGCGCATGGGGTTCTCCAACGAACCAGAGTCCCAGATCGGTTCGCTAAGCCTTAGTAAAAACGTACCTTAGCTACATGGTCGGTCAGTTCCTCCTGCACCTGAATTCTGCC